AACAGGCCAGTCCTTGAGTAGGGGGAGTTTTGGATGACTGTGATAGGAAACTTAATATTTCTGCTGATACTCTTCCGTAGAGCATTAATAATTTTCAGCTATTTCCCTTTATTCATCTAGTAAGAGCTCACCTTCAGCAGCGAAGATAAATCTACCTTTGCAACTCTTCTGATACCTGTTTATTACAAAAGGCTAATGCAAACATTACCCTAACAGCCTAGGGAGAATTTGCCAAGTCCCAAAGTGGCTGAGAAGGGCACTGGTGCCATGCCAGTAATTTTCCTGCAGTCAATAAGACAAATTGTCTAGAGGAGTGCTCAGCTGTTCACATGCCATCCTTTGTTCTCTTCCCTCTCTTTAAAGAAAATAAAATTTTTAAAATCACTCTACAAGAAAACCAAAGTAACCGCCTCGAACATAGCCAAAAAAGAACCCACAGTGAAAAACCCCACAGCCAAAAATATTGAAATGAATTTCTTCAACTCCTCTCAAAAGCCACCATTCTGACCCACTCACTTGTCCAGTACGGACCTCTAACATCATCTTCAGTACAATCTGGGACACTGTATGAATGATGTTACCTGAAAGCCTATAAGAATGGGAGATACAGACAAACACATTTTCAGCAGAAAATATAGGTAGCGTCTTCACTGTTTAATTTTCTTAAAGTTTTAAAGAAATTTAAGATTCAACAACATGTTTAATTCCATTGAATATAGCTTAGTATATTTCTGGAAAACTGTAAATAATGGGCACAGGCCAGATATGACATGTTGCAAATAAAAAAAACCCAAAACACATTCAATTGTTCAATTATGAAATTAATATTTTTATAGTAATAAAACAAGCACCCCACCATAATGTCCTACCTTTCTTTAACAGTAAAGTAATGCAAAAGAGGGAGAAAAAAAAATGTGGTCTCCTGCATAAATTTAACCTCATTCCTGCTTTTCATCACCTGCCTTTCTGATTAAACTACAGTGCGGCTTTCTGGCTTCAGTTCACGGTGCAAACGTAACTGGTTTTGAATGGGAGTGCAGCCACACACCTCCCTTCTCTGCTCTCTCCTCCCTACACCTCTCTGCCAGGATGGTCTACTGCCACCTTGGGCCTAGGGGCTCTTAATATACTTTTAAAAAGACAAGATACTAAGCAAACGGCCACGGATATATGCTAAGTAAAACGGCGTTTGGAAATGCAAAGCAGAAGATACAGCTACTGCAAGAGGAAACCAGCTGCTTCTATTTATTCAAACACTTAAATATATTCAAATTTCAGGCTATCTGGTTATTTTCTTGGAAAACACTACCATTTGTAATGAAGCATTCTTGGGGAAAAGAATAACCAAATCAGCCACAAATAATAATCAGGAATTATTTTTTAAACGTTTTATTGAGTTTATGATAATTTCTCCAAGGCACTATAGAGAATGCTATTTGATCAATCAAGTCATTAAGCTAAGTTTCTAATCTCAAATATGCTCAATACTGGGAATAAAAAAAAAAAAAAAAAGAAAGAGAAAGTAATCTATTTCCCTTTCCTCCCTTATACAACAAAATTTTTGTATTATCTCAGTTTCAGTATCTAATGACACACGAGAAGCTCCGACATACATACTATACACATTAAAGAGGAGAAATAATGTGATGAGACATCAATGTGAGGGATGCACTTCTACGCCCGAGTACACATTTGTCCAACAGGCTTCAGGAAAGAGAAAGTATCTGGTAATATGTGCTGATGCTTCTCTGGTGAGTTAAACGCTAACGATGCCTTTCATTAAACACACCCACAATGGCAACTGCATTTTGTGACACTCTTGTTACCTAACACATTTCTTTTCTTTTTCTGGCCAAGATTAATGCCGAGTTTGACATGAATTTTTAAGCAGCTGTCAGGGTGAATCAGAGATTCATAAATCAAAGGTATTCAGGCTGCAGTGAATGGATTTTTATTTTTTCCTTCTTTTTTGGCTTAGGAAACATTTAACATAACAGTACTCTCTCCTAATGAGCCAATAACAAAACAAGTCAGGTAGAACTTAGAGGCATTTGGGATGATTTCATAGAATCATAGAATGGTTTAGGTTGGAAAGGACCTTGAAGATCATCGAGTTCCAACCCCCCTGCCATAGTCAGGGGCCCCTCCCACTAGACCAGGTTGCCCAAGGCCACGTCCAGCCTGGCCTTGAACACCTCCAGGGATGGGGCCTCAACAACTTCTCTGGGCAACCTGTTCCAGTGCCTCACCACACTCACAGTGAAAAATTTCTTCCTAATGTTTAATCTAAATCTGCCCTCTTCCACTTTATAGCCATTCCCCCTCGTCCTATCACTACATGCCCCAGTAAAAAGTCCTCCCCCAGCTCTCTTGTGGGCTCGCTTTAGGTACTGGAAGGCCGCAATAAGATCTCCCCAGAGCCTTCTCCAGGCTGATTTAAGTCACCTTAACTGGCTGAAGCATATTTGCCTAGTC